TCGCCCCCCTGGCTCTGGCCTGCTTCCCCTGGCCCCCTCGCCCCCGTCCTTCTGTCCTGGCCCTGAACCCAGCCTCCCTTCTTGGCTCTGGTGCCCCCTTGCCCTGGCCCCAGCCCCCCTCGCCCCGGCCCTTTTGTTTTCGTGGTTCGTGGTTTGTCGTCGTCCCCCTGGCTGTGGCCCGTTTCCCCTCGCCCCCGTCCCCCTGGCTGTGGCCGCTGTGGCCCGCCCCCCCTCGCCCCCTCGCCCCAACCCGGACCTCTGGCCTCTGGTACGAGCCCCAGCCCTCTGGCCCTGGCTGAACTCAGCTTGTTTACTGGCCTTGGCCCCACTCGCCCCGATCCTGGCCTTCGCCCCAGCCCTCCTCGCCCCGTATATATATATATACACACATATATACAAGGCTGCATTGGCGCTTCGCGCCATGCATCTTGTTCCTTGAAGCTTTGGAATGGTTGGCCCGTGGTGCCATCCTTTTTTCCAGTTTAGCCGCGGTCCGCTGGTTCGTACTTCGGAGAAGCACAGGAAGAGCAGAAAGGGGGGCAATCCACCTGGGACGTGCCAAAACTGCGAGTTGGAGGCCGCGGGCGCATGGAATGGCGCATATGAGTGGGGGCCGCGCGGGAAACAGCTGGAATCCCGGGTTCACAACCGAATTTCTGGAAAATTGGTTGCGAACCCGGGATTATGAACATAATGCGGCCATTCTTCAGGGCATATCAGATGAAGGGGGCGCGGGGCGGCGGAGTGGTGCGATTTCGAAGGCGGCGGGTTTGACGGGCAGGGTGTTGGTCGGCTTGGCTCTTATGAGCCGTGGGCGGTCTTGGAACGTGGGAATCCCGAAAAAGTGAGGACGCTGAAAACATTGAAAAACAAATGGAAAAGTAGCATTTTTGAATGTTTTTTGAGCCTCACCGAAACGTCTTAGGGGGCCTCCCGAGGCCCTTTGGAACTCTCTTGGGGCTTCCTTGGGCTCTTTCGGGGCGGGAGGCTCGTATTTTCAGATCGTGGTCCCCCCTAGGGCTCCTCTTTGGGCCGTCTTGGAACGTTCGTGGGCCATCTCGGACGCGTCTTGGGCCGTCTTGGGGCTTTCTCAGAGCGCTCTGGGAGCCTCTTGGGCCGTTGTGGGGCGGTTTTGGGAGCTTCTTGGGCGGTCTTGGAGCGTCGGACACACGAAAAAGCGAGGACGCTGAAAATATGGAAAAACCAATGGAAAGTAACAATTTGGAGTGTTTTTGGAGCCTCACCGGAGCTACTTAGGGGGCTTCCCGAGGCCCATGGAGCCCTCTTGGGGCCTCCTTGGGCCTTCTCGGGGCGGGAGGCTCGTATTTTCAGTTCGTGGTCCCCCCTGGGGCCCCTTTTTGGGCCGTCTTGGAGCGTTCGTGGGCCATCTCGGGCGCGTCTTGGACCGTCTTGGGGCGCTCTCAGCGCGCTCTGGGAGCTTCTTGGGCCGTCTTGGAGCGGTTTTGGGAGCTTCTTGGGCGGTCCGGGAGCGTCGGAAACCCGAAAAAGCGAGGACGCTGAAAATATGGAAAAACCAATGGAAAGTAACAATTTGGAGTGTTTTTGGAGCCTCACCGGAGCTACTTAGGGGGCTTCCCGAGGCCCATGGAGCCCTCTTGGGGCCTCCTTGGGCCTTCTCGGGGCGGGAGGCTCGTATTTTCAGTTCGTGGTCCCCCCTGGGGCCCTTTTGGGCCGTCTTGGAGCGTTCGTGGGCCATCTCGGGCGCGTCTTGGACCGTCTTGGAGCGCTCTCAGCGCGCTCTTGCGGTTTTGGGAGCTTCTTGGGCGGGGAGCGTCGGACACCCGAAAAAGCGAGGACGCTGAAAACATTGAAAACCAATGGAAAGTAACAATTTGGGATGTTTTTGGAGCCTCACCGGAGCTACTTAGGGGGCTTCCCGAGGCCCTGTGGAGCTCTCTTGGGGCCTCCTTGGGCCTTCTCGGGGCGGGAGGCTCGTATTTTCAGTTCGTGGTCCCCCCTGGGGCCCCTTTTTGGGCCGTCTTGGAGCGTTCGTGGGCCATCTCGGGCGCGTCTTGGACCGTCTTGGGGCGCTCTCAGCGCGCTCTGGGAGCTTCTTGGGCCGTCTTGGAGCGGTTTTGGGAGCTTCTTGGGCGGTCCGGGAGCGTCGGAAACCCGAAAAAGCGAGGACGCTAAAAACATTGAAAAACCAATGGAAATTCAATGATTTTGTTCTCTCGGGCCCCCTTTGAGAACGGTCTTGGGGCTCTCGCGGAGGGTCTTTATGGCTACCCGGGTGCTATCCTGGACTGTGTTGGGTGTCTCTGTGGGCTTGCGCCGACCGATTTGGCATTGCCACCCGCCTGCGCGCACGCCTTGGAAAGGATTTTCGGCCACCCCCGTGGCACGGATCCGGGGGGGGTCCCGTTTCGGGAGGGGGGTCCGCACCCCCGGAATTATAAAAATATAGAAAAGGGAATCTGTGTGTGTTGCTGTTTGTGGGTCCAGAAGTCGTTCAGCTATCATTTTACGACCAGGCACACGCGTGGGCTGAAGAGGAGCAGAGGCTGATTAATCGGCACCGAAGGGCCCTGGAAGACCACGAACGAGAGCATCATGGGGGGGGAAAGAACTCGTCTGGCAGTGTCCTGGGACGATTCACCCGAGTGAGCGGCCCCCCGCTTCAAGTGGGAGGGCTGGCAAGGCCGACAGAAGAAACATGCGTAAGAAGAACTACTCGATGAAAGCGGGAGGGGAAGCAACCGTCAGTGGAGGGAAGCGTGCGGAGAGCTCGTCTGGAAATGTCCTGGGGATCCACCCTAGTGAGCGGCCCCCCTCTTCGAATTGGAAAACTGGCAAGGCCGACAGAGGAACCATACGCAAGAAAGGCTATTCTATGAAAGCGAGCGGGGGGGAGGGGGGCAACAATGAGTGGAGGGGAACGTGGAGAAAGCTCGTCTGGCCGTGTCCTGGGGATACACCCCAATGAGCGCCCCACCGCTTCAAATGGGAGGGCTGGCAGGGCCGACAGAAGCAACGTGAGCAATAGGGTTGGAGCAGCGCAGCCAAGGCAGCCCAAGGTTCAATAGCGCTAGGGCCGCCTCAATGTCTATACGAATGTTCCACAACAGCAAGTCCACCCACGTTAATCCCCATCCTTGCTCCTCATCCCTTCTCCGCCTCGTCCTCACAGGCCGACGGAAACAGAATCGTTCGTACACGGGCGCTTGAAAACTATACCTCTCTGGCCGCCACCCCTCGTCACCGCGTGGCGCCAGCGTTGAAACCAACGCAGTTCTAGATCCAGATGGTACCTGTTTTGGCAAACCTTCCGAGAGACGTGGCGTACCGCTCCGAGCTGAAATGCTCCAAGCAAGATGAAGGGGCGGAAGGAGGGGAGGAGGGGAGGAGGATGAAGGTGGAGGAGGAGGAGGCGGAGGAGGAGGAGGAGGAGGAGGAGGGGAGGAGGACGAGGAGGACGAGGAGGAGGAGGAGTTCAAATAGCTTGAACGAGGAGGAAGAAGAGGAGGAGGAGGAGGAGGAGGAGGAGACGCCGAAGGAGAGGCGGTGAGCTGCCGACGCCGCGTGCTTCAGGCCGACGGAAACAACCGCACTGAAGGAGGAACCAGCCTCCCAGGAGAGGGAAACGTGGCAGCAGAAAGGCCGAAGAGGTGAAGAGGGCACGATCCCTGACAAATCACACGGTCTGCGCATCGCCCACTTGGTCCGACAGGGCCTCCCTGGAGGAGGAAGCAGCCTCCCAGGAGGGGGGCACGTGGTCCGGGGAAGGCTGCAGAGGTGGGCAAGGCACGACCCCTGACAAATCATACACTTTGCGCATCGCCCGCTCGGTCCGACATGGCCTCCCGGGAGGAGGGAAACAGCCTCCCAGGAGAGGGACGGCTAGGGTTGTGGATGCCATGACAATGGACACTCTAACAATCCGATCATTGAATTTAACATGTGTTTAAAGTGTGTAAAACACATTCTAATAATGTCCCAAGCATGTTTTTACACATTTGAAACATGTTTGAAACACGTTCTAGGCATCTGGAAATTATTTGGCAGCATGCTTCCTCTCCATTAATCGACTTCCACACGGCTAGGGGGGCTGGGGGGGGGAAGGGCACGATCCCTGGCATGTAACACGGTTTGTTTGCGCATCGCCCGCTTGGTCCGACACGGCCTCCCTGGAGGGGGAAGCAGCCCCCCAGGAGGGGGGGCACGTGGTCTGGGAGGACTGCAGGGTGAGCAGGGCACGGCCCCTGATCCATAGCGCAGTTTGCGCCTCGCCCGCTCGGCCCGACACGGCCTCCCCGAAGGAGGGAACACCCTCCCAGGAGGGGGAAACGTTGTCGTGGGAAGAGGAGGAGGTGGAGGAGAGGGAGGAGGAGGTGGAGGAGGAGGTGGATGGAGGGAGGAGGGAGGAGTGAGGAGGGAGGAGGAGGAGGAGGAACTGAAGAAAGCGGTGCAATGACCGAATCGTGTTTTGGCGACGCCGAGCAACTCCATGCAACGAGCAGCGCTCGAGTGGAAACATCCCCGAATCGCCAATCTCCCCTTTCGCAATGAAGCAGCCGATGCCTCAAAAGAAGGCGGCCAGAATTGGCTCTATCAATCACGAAGGCTCGCGCAGAGGCGAGCGCCGCGGAAACGCTTCTTCCTCCTGCGCACCCTCTCCGCTCACACCACCACGATTCGTGGACCCTGCCTCCCTCCCTCGCTCGTCGGCCGACCTGTCCGAACCGAATCCGACGCGCCATCCACTCTTCACTCACGCGGCAGCCTCACCTACCCGGCCTGATTGGTTTCCATCGATCCGAAACGGCGGCGGCAGGACGACGAGGTCGAGTCCAGGCCGCGTACACGATTTGCTCTGGACTGCAGCGCGAAACCTTGCACCGTGTCGGCCTCCAGCTCGTACACGTCATGGCGCGCTTTTTCTTCGGAGGGCATGCTGGCAATGTTGATATAACTACGGGCCAACAAAAAAAACATCCAGGAACCACCACCCTCTCTGAATGCACGGTGGGATACACTGGCTAGCGCGACTGCAATCGTCCATGCTCAGCGCTGTGACAGGTGAAACTCACGCTGCCCGAAGTTGCAGAAGAAGGCACTGCCTTCTGGGAACTGATTTCCTCAGCTTGAGTCTGGACAGCTCGGTCGTTACCAGGTTCTGGCCAACCTCCTTCCGCATCCCAGCGCTGGAGATCATCATCCAGCGCGCAGTGTTGGGGTTTGTTTTTGTCAGTGAAGATTGCGTCGTCGTCTGCAGCACACTCCGGGTCCATCTCCTCGACCAGTATTTGCAGCTGCGTGTCATATGGGTCGGGGTCCGTCTTCGTGAGCCACGGGTGTGAGATAACGAAGCAGTTCATAGCTTCTAACCAAGAGCCTGGATTTCCATGGCTGCCAACGACGACCTCGGATTGAGGCACGTCTTGGCATATCAGCGTCATGGGCACGGTTGCAACAAGTTGCTGGAAGAACCCGGTGCGCACCATTATCACCTTTGCCTCGTCCACGTGTGTCAAAAACTTGTCGTGGAGGCCCTGCTGGAATTACTTGGCTGAATGTATTGAACGATGCGAAGGCAGACTGCAACAAACGCTACATGTGAGAAGGCCCGACCAAACCTGGGAATATGACCGTGCACAGGCAATCAGCAGTGGAGTCGGTAGCACAACTTCGTCACAGTTGCCGCAGCTGTCATAACACAACTTCGTCACGGTTGCCTTCCACACGCCTGGCGTGATCGCAGGGAAGCATGCAAGAGCAACCCAGACGGCGCCCTGCCTGCGCGCACTGCTGCGAGAGCGCCTGGCGGCCGAAGCGCTGCTCGCAGAGCCACTGGCACCAACAGCCCAGCAGCGCTCAGGAATGCCGGTACACACAGGAGAACCCATACCATCACGACCATGACTGAAAGGCCTCCTGGACGGGGTCGGTGGTCGGAGTTGATGGGGTCGGAGAAAAGCCGCATCGCCGATACACCGGCGATGCATCGGCGATGCCCCTGTGATGCACCGGCGATGCGTCCTCGACGTCGGCGATGCACCGGCGACGTCGGCGTGAAGCTAATCAGGCCCCACATGGAGCCGGATCGGCGATGCAGCAGCGATGCGGTGCGGTCCTCCGACGCCATCTGTTCCGACCCCATCTGGGAGGCCGACCAGCGCGGAGGTGTCCAGGGTACCAAAAAAACAGCGCGAAAAGATCCTTCTGGGAACGAAGGGCACCCGCAGCGCCCAATGGGAATTACGGGCACCAGCAACGCGACAGTGTCCAGGTCAGGTGTCAGGCCAGGTCCGGTGCGGCGTGCGCAGAGGCGCGCCCTGTGCGGGCTGCCGCGGACCTCCTCGCCTTCTCACACGCGCTTTCTCGCAACCGCCACCTTCTCACACCCTCGCAAATTAGTCGGTCCATCTCTTGAATTAATGGCCTTCCAACAAATCGAAACAGTGCGCGACAGTGTCCTGGGGAGAGAAAAAAAGTCACTGCCAACCTCAGGAGGCGATGGGAGCACCTACGGATGACACATGCTGGAGATGAAGAAAGAGCACAACGCAATACTCCGAGCATGATGGTGTCTGGTACGCATGCGACAGACGATCAACAAGAACGGCTCTTGCGCGAGATGACGTGGCGGCCTGGCGCCGAAGCTTGCGCGAGCCGCCGGCGCGGCACGCCACGCTGACCTCGTTCCTTGCGTCGCTCATGACGTGCCTGCGGCTATACTTACCAGCCTGGAACGGATCCCCATCCCTATGTTGGGCACCTCCTCATCACGATGCCAATCTCAGGGATTCCCTTATTGTTTGAGGGCAGATCCCTGAGACTCTCATCGCCTTTTGGCGTGTCAATCTGAGGGATAGGGAGACGTTCGAGGCCGGCAACCTGCGGCTACACGAAGCACAACTCGGAAGCCAAAGGCCAGCCCACACACTCCGCAGCGCATCGCCCGCTCGCGCAGCACGGTGTCCGCGCGGCGGCGCGCCGACGCCTCGCGCCGCGCACGAGGTGCACGGCCGGCCGCTGCGCAGGAGCACTGGCGGGGGGAGCACCCCCGCGCCGTCGGAACCGGCACGGGTGTAGCCAGCCTCGAACGTGTCCCTATCCCTAAGATGGGCGAGCAAACAGCGAGGGCAATCCTAGGGATTTGCCCTCAGAAACGGAGGGAATCCTTGAGATCGGCATCGAGGTGAGGTGATGTCAAACATAGGGATGGGGATATGTTTCAAACTGGTAAGAGTAGCAACACCGTGGATGAGAAGGTCAGCGGCCACCCACGCTGCGAACACAGGGGCCATCGCCATCGCTTGAAAGTCCGGACGTTTGAGACGGGCGACGTCGACATCTCGAGTCCGCTCGGCTTGAACCACAATAGCAACGGCACTACCCCCCTGGCACGCCGTTCTTGACCTGCCCTGAAGACCTGGGGATGCTTGTGGCCACCCGTCTGCAAGAGCAGCTGTGTTCTGCCTTCGCGCTGCGCGAAGCGCTACTATTAGGTAGGGCATGTCCCCCTACAGGGGAACTTTGGACGAAAAAATTAAAATACCCCCAAAATGTCCAAAAGATGCCCAAACATACTCAAAAAATAGTCCCCCGACAATTTTTTGAATGCTCCCCTGAAGAGGGACAGGCCCGACTTAACGCTACTACCTTCGCGCCCTCGCGCCGCCTCCCGTGGAAGAAGAAGAGGAGGAGGAGGAGGAGAGGAGGAGGAGAGGCACCGCGAACCTCGAACAGCGAACAACGTCGCGCCCTCGCGGCGACCCTCACGCCTGCGAACTGGGCACCCCCGACGGAGACGAGACGGGCCCAGACCGCTCGGACGACAAAAAAGCGGCCCAACGAGCAGGGCCAGCGTTGGTCGCCCGGGAAGGGAGGGGAAGGGGGAGGGGGAGTGGGAGGAGGAGGAGGAGGAGGAGGAGGAGGAGGAGGCGGAGGAGGTGGAGGAGGCGGAGGCGGAGGCGGAGGCGGAGGCGGAGGCGGAGGCGGAGGCGGCGGAGGAGGAGGAGGAGGAGGAGGAGGAGGAGGCGGAGGAGGAGGAGGCGTAGGGTCCCACGACCACGCGAGAACCTTCGGCCGTCCGCGCACGGCCAAGGGGGCAGCCCCGCTCCCCCACTGATCCCAGGCGCCCCCCCTGCCGCGGAGCGACGGGCGCTTCAAACCCTCGCGCAGCGACAATGATGCCCTCTCCGCGTGGCCGCCGGAGCGCCGCCACCACCGCCCCCCGGCCGCACTCCGGGGACAGAGAGGGCGGGAGGGGAGGAGGGCCCTGACCTTCCAGGAGGGCCAAAAAATAGCACCCAGGAGCCTGACACCCTAATTCCTGTCGAGGTTCTGGGCAGTACAGACAGGTCTACAGGTCTGGAGGGCAATTTTTGGGCACTCTGGAAGGTCAGGGGGAGGGGTGGGTGGGTGGAGAGGTCATCGAGCCGAATCGGCGCTATCCTCCGACACCATCTGCTCCGAGAAGGCCCAGATGCCCCCGATCGACATGGCGCGAACCTACCCTACGGACTCACTCTGTATGGACGCAGCATCCCCCCCTGCGACGCCAAAGGGGGAGGGGGAGGGGGGGGGGTCAGGGGGGAGGGGGGGTGGACGGAGAGGGGCAGCGAGTAGGTGTGGGGGGGGGAGGGGGAGGAAGGCCGAGCAAGGCAAGACCGCCGCGGTGGGACCCCGCCGGCCGGCGCCGCGACGGGCCGGCTCCCCAGAGCTCAGCTGCCCCGATACGCAGCAAACGCAGCCCGCAGCGTGCTGCCACGGAGCTCAACACGTAGACTGATAAGCATGCTCCGAGTTTCTTCATAAGCGTGGGGGGGGGAGGGGGGCGTCACCCCCGCCGACGGCCCCGCATCGACCCCCGTCGCGGACAGCCACCGCGCGCCGAAGGCGCTCCGACCCCCGTCGCGGCGCGACGACGAGGCGAGGTGGACCCCGTCGGGGGGGGGGGGCCCCCCAGCGCTTGTGAAGAAGCCCGGCGCAGGTCTGGCGCGATACGCTCGCCAGAACGTGGACCAGCACGCCTGCGAGCCACCACGCAGCGCATCCGCACGGACGCCGTAGGAGGAGGAGGAGGAGGAGGAGGAGGAGGAGGAGGAGGAGAAGGAGGAGGAGGAGGAGGAGGAGGAGCGCTTCAGCACGTGCGCCTCAGGGCAGCCGAGCTCCCCCCCCCCGCTCGCGCGAGGCGCCGTGCAGGCAGGTGGAGTCGCCGTCCACGGCCGCCAAGAGCTCGGCCGCGGTGCCGAAGGCGGTCGCGGCAGCCGCGGACGCCGCGAGCATCTGCCCGCGGACGCCTCGGCCGTGCGCGCCTGCGTGGCGCTGCGCCCTGCGGGGTGGTCTGGACGGTGCGCCCCGGCGGCCACGGCCAGCGATCCACTTCCACCTGGCTCGCAGCTAAAGCTTCAACAAATCAGAGATCCACCACCGTGCCCCTCGGCACGCCGTGTGGAGTGGTATGATGCCGAGTGCTGACTGGTAGGGCTTCTGCAGTGTTCTGGACAACTCCCCTCTTCTAGCGACCAGGCCCACTCCTGAGGCTGCCTGGACACCCCGACGCCTCCCTGGTGTTCGCAAGCGCCTGCGCGATGTTCAAGATTCAAGATGCCTTCCAGGACGGCCAAGAAAAGCAACCAAGATGCCCGAAAATCCTCGAAGACGACTCTATCGTCTCCAAGAAGCCGCCAGAGGCCCCAAGAGAGCTTCTAAGAGATGGCTCAGGCGGCCAAACTCATTGAGAATATTGCTGTTGTTTCAATGTTGCTTTCCCCGCTACATCGCCGTGACGAAAGTTTCTTTCAATTTGCCTTTTGGAATGACGCGTTCGTGCGGAGTGGTTCGGAGTAGTTTTACCAAAATTACTCCGCGCGCAATCGCATCCCGCTCGGTAATTTATATGGTTGGGCGCGGAGTAGTTTCCGATCCCGTTTTGGGGTAACAGAGTTATTAACGTCCCAGGGATCGGAAACTACTCCACCGAATGACCCAGCATCATGTCATGTTAGGAATATTGAGAGGGATGGGAGTGATCTTCATCATAGCAAATTGAAGAAACTTTTGTCACGGCCGTGTATTCTGTAATGTTGGGTTTTCGTTTTGAAAATCCGTCGTCCCGCGTCCCTCCCACCTCCTCCTCCTCCTCCTCCTCCCGCTGCTTCCTCCCTCCTCCCGTCCCTACCTCTGCCCTCCGCATGTCAACCGTTTCGGCATGTAGCGCACACGCTTCGTGGCCCCATAGGGAGCTCCACCGAAGGTCCCAGTGGCACCGTTCGTGTGCGCCCCCGCCACCAATTTCGGCGCACCCCTCACAAATTGTGGGACCCATAGGGAGCTCCACCGAAGGTCGCAACGGTACCGTTCGCATGCGTCCCCCCCCCCACCAATTTCGGCACACATCCTCACAAGTTTTGGGACCCATAGGGAGCTCCACTGAAGGTCGCAACGGCACCGTTCCCATGCGTCCCCCCCCCCCGCCACCAATTTCGGCACTCGCCTCGTAGCCTCATGGGGAGCTCCACCAAAGGTCCCAGTGGCACCGTTCACATGCGTCCCCACCACCAATTTCGACACACCCCTCACAAGTTTTGGGACCCATAGGGAGCTCCACCGAAGGTCGCAACGGCACCGTTCGCATGCGTCCCCACCACCTATTTCGGCGCACTCCTCACAAGATTCGGGGCCCATGGGGAGTTCCGCCGAAGGTCTACATGGTACCGTCCGCACGCGTCCCCGCCACCAATTTCGGCACACCCCCTCACACGCTTCGTGGGCCCAATGGGGAGCTCCACCAAGAAGGTCCCAGTGGCAGCGTTCGCATGGGTTTCCGTCACCAATTTCGGCTCACTCCTCACACGCTTCGTGTCCTCATAGGGAGCTCCACTCAAGGCCCCAACCGCGTCTCTCGCATACGTCCCCCGCACCAAGTACGGCACACCGTCACACCCCTCACGCGCTTCGTTGCTCCATAAGGAGCTTCACCGAAGGTCCCAACGGCAATTTCGACACACCCTTCACACGGTTCGTCGCTACATAGGGAGCTACACCGAAGACAATATTCCTTATCGCGGTACTAACAATTGCATATGGTTGGGTCCTTCTGCAAGATGATTAGACCCAGGATGGCTCTGGTGTGCTCCGGAGGGCCCAGGACCACCAGATGGCGCCAGAACATACACAAACACGGGCCTCTTTGGGAGCCCAAGGCGGCCCATGAGGTCGCCCAGACGGGCCAACAGGGCCGCCAGATGGCACCAAAACGTTCTAAATCGGCCGCAATTGTTGACCAAAGATGGCCCCACGGCGCCCCAAGATGACCCCAAGACGCCTCCAAGACACCCCTGGACGGCCCTGAGATGCCACCAAGACGCCCCAAGAGTTCCTACAAATCTCATTATATACACTTTCTCTCTTCTCCCTCTCCTCGTTCTCCTCCTCTTCCTCCTCCTTCTTCATGTTACGACCTTCTGTCAACAGAGGACACGAGCTGTCATATGTTACGGCCCGCTTGGATCTGGGGAACATTTTCCGCCACACTGCGCCCTGAGAGATCACGAGAGACGAACATATCCATATCCATGCCCTTGCGGACTGGACATCTAAGCACGACCCCACGGATGTGAGATGGAATGGGCAGGTCTCGCGCGGCGAATCCGCGCAAAGCCGCGCTGTATCTATGGGGTAGCGGTCTGGGAGACCAGACTGCGAGGCGGTGGACATGGGGCATGTTCCCGCTCACCCAGGAAGGCATCTATCACACGCTACAATCTTTTCAAGCCAGCAGCTGAGAACTTCAGATGCTCGGCCCTCCAAAGAATGGGAAGAGCACTGAAATCCGCCGACCCTTCGGCGTGTGAGGGTCGCTGTCGTCGTCGTCGTCGTCGTCGTCGTCGTCGTCGTCGCCAGTCCCAAGGAAATGGAGGAACGAACCGAGAAAACAGACCTCGTGGTCAAATCGATTCCCTCCCTTTCTCCTGTCCCTGACGGGGTGGGGGTACGGGTGGGGGCACGATGTGCGGTACAGAGGGAGGAGGAACAGGAGGAGGAAGAGGGAGGGAGGGAGGGAGGGAGGGAGGGAGGGAGGGAGAGGAGGGAGGGAGGGAGGGAGGGAGGGAGGGAGGGAGGGAGGGAGGGAGGGAGGGAGGGAGGGAGGAGGAGGAGGAGGAGGAGGAGGAGTGAGGAGGGGGGTTCGGGAGAGGGGTCGCAGGGCGGGGTCCTGGGTCCGATTACCGCCCCTCCTCCCCAGGGGGTTCTGGCGGCCCCCTCTCTCCCCTCCCCAGTCCTCTTCTCCTCCCCACTTCCCCTTCTCCTTTGCGTCCTCCTTCTCCTTCTTCTTCTTCCTCCCCCCCCCTCTTTCTCCTCCTCCTGCTCCTTCTCCTCTTCCTCCTTTTCCTTCTCTTCCTCCTTCATTTGCTTCTTCTCCTCTTTCTTCTCCTCCTCCTCCTCTACAGGGAGAGCTGCCTGCGGGGGTGGGGGGGTCCTGAAGGGGGGAGTCCCGGCGGGTCCGGCAGGGGGGGTCGCCAACGGAGGTCCAGGGTCTGGGGGCGGGTCGCCGGCGGGGGTCCCGGGAAGGTTCCGCCTGTGGTGGGGGAGGGTGGTCCAGGGTCAATGCCCTGACCTTCCAGGAGGGCCAAGAAATAGTACCACCACTTTGACGCCCCAGCTCCCGTCGAGGTCTTAGGCAGTCCAGACAGGTCTGTAGGTCTGCAAGGCTATCTTTTAGCACTCTGGTAGGTCAGGGTGCCGCCCCCGCCAGGGTCCCGGCGGGTCCCGCGGGGGGGCGGTTCGCCAGCAGCGGGGGTCCCGGAGGAGGTCCCGCCTTCAGGGTCGGCGGCACCGGCCGCAATGCCTTCACAGGATGTAGCTTTTTCTTGCGGGCGGTTCTCGCAGGGTCACCACCTAGTGCGGCGCTGGCACAGTGGTGGACGTTGCCGCAGGCACGTGGATTCAGCAGACAATGTCTGTTGCGTTAGTAGGCCGCACGGACAGGAGTAGACAGCGTGGTCATAGACGCAGCTAGAATGCGAGCGATCATAACTGAAGAACGGAACATGCACACACCCTCTCGCTGTTTTTCTCCAACGTCCTGTAGCCCGCGGCCCTCAAACCGCCATTATGTTAGAGGTACAAGAGCCAGTGTATGTACCGCACGACGGGAAACAAGGGCTGCCCAAGGATGAGGTTGGCTCTGCACGCAGGTCCCTTCTTGAGCGTTTGTCTTTGACCACGCCATCCATTCACGCCCAAGTCCAAAGAACACGTGTTAGTAAGTGTCAAAGTGAGTCTCGAGCCACGGTGGCAATAATGATGAGACTGCCCTGAAGGCCTGATGTCGCTGTGGAGTCACGGGGGCACATACATCCTTAAGCACGTGGGCGGCGGAATCCTCCCATGATTGTCATAGTTCCATGATGCCGCACAGGGCGCAAAAGCACAAACCCACAACGCCTGTGCCTGTGACCTACGCTCGACGGTGCTCCAAAACTCCCACGCGCACGCGCAATCCTGCAATCAGGTGCGTTGCACATGCTGATGCGCCTATGCACACACAAACACCTCAAAGCATACATGATCCAGGGCTCCGCCCCCCTGATGCTGATGTCGTTAAAGGCTTAACGACTTCTGCCGTCCTTCGACTCGCGCTGGAGCGGCCGCGAGTTGCTCCTACTTTCCCAGGAGATCGGATGTACCTGGATTTGCTCGGATTCATCTCGATTGACCTGGATGCACCTCGATGTATCTGCACATACCTGGATTCATCTGGCTCGATCCCCACAGGTCGATTGGCGAAACGTCGACAAGCCCTTAGGGACGATGCCTTCGGGGGCACCCCCCCCGTCACCGGGCGGCGGCGCGGACGCGGCGCGTGGCCTCACGGGCACACAGGATGGGGAGCGGGGGCAGGTGCCCGCGGCCTCCCTCCTTTCCTGCTGGTGGCGAGGTGGTGCTGCGGTGCCGTCGTCGTCGCCGTCATCGAAATCGTGATCTTATTCGTCGTCGTCGTCGACGTCGTCGTCCTCGTCCTCGTCCTCGTCGTCCTCGTCCTCGTCCATGTCCTCGTCCTCATCGTCGTCGTCGTCGCCGTCCTCGTCGTCGTCGTCGTCCTCGTCGTCGTCCCTTCCCATCTTGGGGAAGGCGTGCGGGCCCTGGGACCCATCCCATAGGGGGGGGGCCTGTGAAAACTCGACCCAGGATTGTGTGCATCCGTGTGCGTGCGCATGCGTGTGTGTGCGCGTGTGTGTGTGTGTGTGTGTGTGTGCGTGTGTAAGCGTGCGTGCGTGCGTGCG